CTTCCTTCCTTCCTTCCTTCCTTCCTTCCTTCCTTCCTTTCCTTCTTTCCTTCTTTCTGAGAAAGAAGGAAAGAAAGCAAGTGAGAGCGGGAGGGGGGTGGGGGCAGAGAGAGAGGCAGACAGAGGATCTGAAGCGGGCTCTGCCCTGGCAGCAGTGAGCCCAATGCGGGGCTCGAACCCACAAACCATGAGATCATGACCTGAGCCAAAGTTGGACGCTTAACTGAGCCATCCAGGCACCCCAAAAAAGCCTTTTTTGCTTCCCTGGTGCCCAGAACCCTTTTGCCCACCCAGGTCTGTGGCTTGTGCAGAAACTTCAATGGTGAGGAAGAGGATGAGCTCATGATGCCCAATGACGAATTAGCCCAGAATGACGCTGAATTTGTGGAGAGTTGGCAAGATAAGGAGTCTCACCCAAAGTAATTGTCCCCAAAGCCTCTAACCTTTCATAGGAACAGGAGTTGGGATCCCGGACTGTGTAGCGTGCCAGGGATAGGAAGACTGGAGTGTTCCTGTATGTGTGCAACTTGACAGAGGATGGCTTCTGGGTCCCCAGAACCTATCTGGGGACACATGAGCCTTCCTTTCTTCGCTTCAGAGTGTGGACAGGGACTGAGGCTTCCGGAAGGTAGCCGGAGCTTGGACCAGCTTCCTAGTGAAGACAAGACAAGGGGGTCTTCTGAGTCACTTGGGAGGGCCAAGTCATTTTCATAGGTGGGGCAGTGGCTGTCCATGTGATGACCCTTTTCTCCTCTGCAGTTGCCAAAAAGAGAGCCAGGAGACCCAAGCAATACAGCTGGAGAATCTAAATATAGGCTGCAGGAGAGATGACCTAGTGAGAGCCCAGGAACAATGCCAGGCGGCCTTTCAGACTCCGGCCTGGACTGAGTGTGCCACCTACGTGTTCCTCAAGCCCTTCCTGCTCAAGTGTATCCACAACCTCTGTCAGTTTGGAGGCCTACGCCATGCCCTCTGTGGATCTCTGGAAAACTTCGCAGTCGCCTGCCGGGCCCGGGGGCTCCAGCCCCCAATCTGGAGAAACAGCAGTTTCTGCCGTGAGTGTCCCCTACGGTCACCCCGGAGCACTCCCACACCTCCTTTCCATCTGCGTGTCCCTTAAAGCTCCCTGTCTTCCTTTTGGGCCGTGCCCGACCTGCATCTGACCTCGTTGTTCAGCTGTGGCTCCTTTGCAACAAGGTCTTAGCCAATGCCCCTATGACGGGGACAGCACACACGGACCTTGCTTTTCCACACCCCTCCTTTCCTTTATCCACACCGCTCCCTGAACCTGGAAAGTTCCAGGTTTTAACACCGGGGTCCAGGTCAAGTTTGACGGCAAAGATTCTTCTCGCCTCCTGGCAGACTCCTAGGCATCCTTCTGTAGTTCTTAACATTATTTTCTTCAAATTAGAATTCACATACCATAATAGTCACCACTTTAAAAATACAATTCGTTGTTTTCTAGGATATTTACAAGCTCTGCAACCATCATCACTATATAATTCCAGAACCTTTTAAACTTTAAGACAGTGGTTAGTGTGTTTTTAGGATGTGACGCATTCACATGGTTCAGGAACTTTTAATGTATTAAAAGATTGCCTGGGGCGTCTGGGTAGCTCAGCCAGAAGTGCGTGCGGCTCTTGATGTCAGGTCATGAGTTCAAGCCCCATGTTCGGGGTGTGGAAGTTACTAAAAGAATAAAAAAAAAAAAGATTGCCAGTGAAGAGTCTCCCTCCCCCCTGACCCCGGGTCACAGCCTGACCTTATCAGCATCTGAGTATTTTTCCAAAGATCTTTTACTTATGCCCATAGAAACAAATGCAAATTAATTTTCCTTATTTTTAAAATTTTTATTTGTTTTAAAAATAGCATACAAGATCCAGTAGATTGCATTTTATTTTTTTTTAACTTTATTTTTTATTTTTTAAAATTTACATCCAAGTTAGTTAGCATATAGTGAAGCAATGATTTCAGGAGTAGATTCCTTAGTGCCCCTTACCCATTTAGCCCATCTCCCCTCCCACAACCCCTCCAGCAACCCTCAGTTTGTTCTCCATTTTTATGAGTCTCTTCTGTTTTGTCCCCCTCCCTGTTTTTATATTATTTTTGTTTCCCTTCCCTTATGTTCATCTGTTTTGTCTCTTAAAGTCCTCATATG